TGTCGCTTGCCAAAATTTTTGAATTTTGGGTTTAGGCCCTTTAGGCCCTTTGAGGCACGGGTTAAAATTTTTTTAAAATTTTTTCCTTTTAGGGGGTTCATTTAGAGACTACATAGAAACTTTTTAGGGGTTGACCAACTTGATTTTCGCAAAACTCAAAAATAAGGCACACCCTAGCTCCCCCCCCCCACAAACACAAAAAATGATGCAACGTAAAATGCAATAAGGCTAATACCAGTTCAGCCCATCCAATTTTCCTCAGGAAAAATATGAGCTGGACCGCTTTTTGCGTTTTGGAACTACAATTTCCGGCTCAAACATAAAAACACTGAACTAAAGAGGGATACCAATGGCATATATGGACGTATTTCTATCAAGCGAAACTATGTGCATTATGACGTGAGTCCTGTCATGCATATATTCTGATGGGTCTCAGGGCTCAGTTCTTAATGCACATAGTTCCGTTTGACAGAAATAGGTCCATATGCTGTATCTATAATGAGCTAGAAATTGTAGTTCCGAATTGCAAAATGTGGTACAATGTGGCACATGTATTTTTGATGGCCAAATTTAGCAAAATGGTCAATTTTCCAGCTAACCTGGTCCAAATTGGCAGCATTTGACTTGAAGTGAGTCTTTACGGCAGAGGAAGGGTAGAGTCATTAAAAATATCGGCAGAATTGCAATTAATTGGACTGAATTTCGCAAAATAAAAACCGAGTCACGTTTACTTGAAGAGGAGTGAAGGAGGGTGGAAATTATCTTTTTCCGTGAGAAACCTAGTGTATAGAATGAACTGTATGTCCACGTTTGAAAATTTACAAGTTTTTCCCAGACATAGGCTTCTGTAGTTGTACTTTCCCGTGCTATCTAAAATAGCGAAAAGAGAAGAAAATACGATGGTAATTGTTACACTTTGACCATTTGTGTTTTATTTTTGATCCTGTAGAAGTGTATGTTCGTTTAGAGTAGAAAAAATCGTAAACGAAAGTAACAATTCAAGTTAACTATATTTGGTCCGACACACAAATCATCCGTGATAAAAACTATATATATCTTCAGTAGTGCAGAAAATTCAATTTAAAACGAAATTGGCTCACTCTTTAGAAAACACCTCATTTTCAGCACAAATATTTTTCATAGTTCTTCTGTTTAATGCAAAAGTCATGGCTTGTCAAGCGAGGATCAACTGCCGCGTTTTGCGTCTAGTTGGTAACATCATCAGCACAGCCCAGTACTATAATTACTTGCAACAGACATCGTGGGATAATAAATATTAAAATAGATCTTAATTGAAACAATCTCTCCAAAAATTTCAAAAATTGCCCTGAAGCAAAAGAGGAAAATGCAACCTCTGACCCACATTTATAATTAAACTGAGAAATGGAAAGATTTTCTCTTCCTCCACCACCGAGAAAAGTACACCGAGGAGAAATATTTAGCTGCAAATATACTTTAAAAGCGAGGGAACAGTTTTGAAAAATGATGAATACAGCCTAAGGTACCAATGCTGTTTTGCTAGAAGGAACGTTGTATGAGCATTTCAAACTCCTAAAATCTGCTCGAATACAATTTTTCATTCAAAGGGAAATTTTGAATTTGTTTCCTTAACGTTTTTAAATAATCGAGATTAAATTAACCGTACGATTTTCCGTAGGTAAAATGGAAAATATTGGAGCTTTTCTAGAAAACTCATACTTCCTCTGGAGAAATTTGGCATCGCCTGGACGTCCATACGCCCTTTTTCCTTCAGCGCGGCATGACGGAGAAAATACGCGGTTTCAATTCATGCAAATTTATGTTTAAATATACAGCGGGCAGATTGCGGTCTGTTGAGCTGAATTGGGGTCGGCTTCAAGTAAGCAGCAGACAAGGAAAGTCCATCAGCAAGAAGAATTGCATTTGTGCAAAATCTGAGATAGCCTCTGAGTCGAGGGATGGTGCAAAATGCAAATTCGGAGGGTTTATGATTGGACTTTGATTGAATTGAGAGTAAAGCGGATGGATAACTTCACAAATCCTCGGTCAACAGAACCGCATCTTCTGATCGTCCTAGCTGGTGATTGTTGAGGCTTCAAGATACTCGTTTTGTCGCATAAATAGTGAAAATTGTCTGCAAAAGAAGCTAAAAAAGGAGCTGATTGCAAATTACAGGACGCCAAATTTACACTAAAATAACTTCAAGTTCACTTATCGAGGGCTAAGGAACAATACCGCATAACTAACACTTTTGGTATAAATGAGTTAGCTATTTTGCCGCATTCTACTGTATTAAATACGCAAGCTGATGATTTTACTCTCTTCCAAATTATGCTGAGGACGCTGAAATGTATGAAAAAATTGCAAATCTAACCTTCAAATTATAAAAAAACGGCTATTATAAAGGCATAGGTTCAAATGGCATAACAATCGGGTTTACGGACAGGCGAGACAAGATACTGATGTGCACATTTTGAATTAAGCACGTTATCAGTTGTTAATAATCATTGTAAATACTTTGTCCAATGCTTGCTAGTTGATAATGGTCTCGGCTGACACCTATTGTTATGACTCAACTGACGGTGACTCCCTTTGGAACTTCATAATTCGTTTTTTAGTGAGTAAACTTCCATCAATTGAGCGATTAATTGAAATTATGAGCATTTTTTTCATGGTGATGCGTGGGTCAGGCGGTCAACCGTCTTAACTTTCGAAAGTCTCATGATAACATTTTTGGCAAATTCTGCTATTTTCGATTTTTGAATTTTAAAAATTTGAGTTGAGATTCAAGTTCCTCGTTAAAAAATACCCCCTGACACTATGACGGTAACAGTCAACTTTCATACGTAAGTGCGCCTTCAATTACATTTGATACGGTGCAATTCTTTCGTGGTGGAATAGTTGCATTGGCGCCTTCAAACCTAACAGGGATACTCCACGCATTGCGCGATACACGAAAGTACCACCACGAAAAGTATTGCACCGTATCAAATGTAATTGAAGGCGCGCTAACGTATGAAAATTGACTGATACCGTTCACCACTGTTTAGAGTCTTCGGCTTATAAGGCTTATAAAGTTTTCTCTTCGTTCTGCAAAATCGTCAGTTTGCAGGAAGGCGGTATTGTTCCTTACTCATACATATTTGGACTGCATTTTGCAATTTAGAACTATGAATTCTGGCCCGGTTTAAAAACAACGTATGCGCCATTAGTTTCCCTATGCACATAAGTGTTTTTTCGGATGAGCCGGAATTTATAGTTCCAAATTGCAAAATGCAGTCCATTTAATTCATACTAGTGGTGTTTTGCCTTATTAGCTGCAGTATTTAATTTACGATATTGAACATTCAAACCGAATCAAACTAAAAGAGGAGTTTAGGTACATGAAAGCATTTTTTAGATCATGAAGAAAAAACTTCGTTTTACATGAATCACGAAAGCACTCGGTGCAGGCAATCAAGGTCTCCGGTAGGAAGTACCAAACTTTGGGGCAGGTCAAACATTTTTTATTAAAGATGATATTTTTCATCGTAAACTTCCGTTCTCTAAGCCAAAGTTTGATTTCTATGACCGAAAACTTCATTTATCTGCACGAAACACCGCAAAAATTGCAAGACAGAAGTTCCTCCTTGTGCACTTTGCAGCTTTCACGAGCAAAACACCGTGAGAACGGCTCATTTCGTCGCCTACCTGACATAAGGGCGTAACTACAATCTGCGATGAACCCTGGGCTCCATACAATTCAATGCTTTTCCAGGCTCATCTCAATGTGTAGTTACGCCCTTATGTTAGCCAAGCGACGATTTGACCAAACATATGTTTCTTTGCAAGACATTTCAAACACCATCCATCCTCTGAAAGGCTCTGTCCCCGTAAACTCTGTAAATTATTTAACGCCTGCCTTAACCCCTCCCCCCTCTCACCGCGACTACGGTCGACATAGATGTCACAAAACGCGCGTTTAGCAAAGTAGGTTGAGGTTGTTTTAAAGAGCAAAAAAAGGGAATTGTGGTTAAAGTGCGGAAAATAGGAGGGGGGGGGAGATTGTGTTCCTCGATTTTTTTCTTAACAATAAACGTAAAAATTCTTAACGTAGAAGTTAAAAGAAAAAAC